TAAAAATAAGGTATGTCAAAATTATGTCAATTAAAATTATCAAATTTATCAGGAAATACATTAAAATTGTCAAGAAAAAATTGAAATTGTCAAGAAATAAATTAAATTTGTCAAAAAATATTATCATTAAGGAATTCTTCAATTGAGTAATAGCATTTGTTTAATAATAATTTATTGAGAATACTTTTAAATCTAATTACTGTTGTATTTTTTATTTCATTGGGAATCTTATTATAAATTCTAGGGGCATTACCAAACAAACTTTTGTACATAAGTGCTGTTTTACATTTTACTTGGCTTAGTTTATTAATATATTGGGTGCGTAAGGGAACATTCCTGCCTGAGCTCAATTTTGGAAATAAGTGAGGATTTTGTTTTACAAATACAGCTGTTTCCAGTATATACATGGAGGGCAATGTTAATATTTTTAGTGATTTGAAGTGTGCAATACAGCTGTCTGTGGTCTTCAGACCACACATTGACCTTAAACATCTTTTTTGCATTCTAAACACAAGCTCTCTATCTGTAGACTGCCCCCAAAATATAATGCCATAGCGTAATACCGAGGCAACGAATCCATGGTATGCTGCAAGAAGAGCCTGAAGGTTTACTTTTTTTGAAAGTTGGAAAAGCGCGTATGCGGATTTACTTAACCTTTTACATAACTCCTCAACATGAGGCTTCCAGCTGAGGACGTCGTCAATGACTATACCCAAGAACTTGGTTTTATTTGCTTGCTCGATACAACGGTTTTCATACGCGATTTTAATATTGTCTTGATGACGACGCTGATGAAAGTGCATAACCTTTGTTTTGTTTAAGTTAATTACTAAATTATTTTTGTTAAGCCAATTGATGATATCATATAAGCATTTATTGATCTCATTTTCATAGTCGAGTTCATTTTTACATTTTATGATGACTGTACTGTCGTCTGCAAATAGGACCATTTTGTGTGATGTAGTTTTCGGTAAATCATTAATATATATCAGAAAAAGTAACGGCCCAAGAACGCTGCCCTGAGGGACGCCATATTTAATATGTCTTCGTTTTGATAAATATGTCGTTTCTAGCTTACTCCTCGGACATAGCCTACTGATCTCCGTATACTGAATTCTGTCGCTGAGGTACGATTTCAAAAGTTGAAGGACGTTTCCTCGGACACCATAACTGTGTAATTTATTTAACAAGATATTGTGATCCACATAATCAAAGGCTTTAGTCATATCCGTGTATATTGCGCAAACTGGATTTCTTTTATCTACTGATGTTACAATATCGTCTAGGAAGTCAAATACCGCCATGTTTACTGTAGTGTTTTTCCGAAATCCCTTCTGCTCGTCACAAAATAAGTGGTATTTATCAAAATAGTCATACAGGGAGTTATATATAACTTTCTCTATAATCTTTGAGAGTATAGGTATCTTAGCAATTGGCCTATAATTTTTTAAACATGTTTTACTATCCCTTTTATGTAGTGGTTTTATAATTGTATTTTTTAGTTTTATTGGAAATATTCCATCTGTTATACACATGTTAATTATGTGTGCTAGATGTGGGGCTATTATTTCTTTTACGTGTTTAATAGCTTTTGTCGACGTTCCGTCATATCCTACCGTATTAGTATTTTTAAGATTACATATTATATTAATTATGTCTTTATCTGTTACTGATTGCATAAATAGTGAATTAGATGTCCAATTTATAGAATTATTATTATAAGAATTAATGTCATTATTAATATTATTTTCAATTTCATCAACAAAATAATTATTAAATTCATTAGCAATATCTTCTGGGTGCGTTACCACATCATCACCTTTTTCTAAGCATATTATTGACTCTCGTGGCATGCACAACTTTGACTTATTTATTATTTGCCAAGTAGCCTTCGATTTGTTTTGAGAGGTATAGGCATAGTTTTCATATTTCTAATAGTAAATATCGTGTAGGTACTATAAGTTTCGGCTTCTATTAATTTGAATTAGATTAGAGGGGGTAGCGCAAATTTAATATCAGCCTGTCCTATGGTGATCAGGAAAACCCAAAACAAAAAAATAGCTATGGAATGCATTGATACAGTTTCGAAGTGTGGGAGAGCCATGCTTCGGCACGAATGGGCCGGCTCGACCGGAGTGATATCACGGCCTCACAAAAAACCGACTTGAAACAACGCTTGCGTGGTGTTTCATCGTTTGAGTGACGTTACCGGAGGCCCAATTACCGCTCCCCCTCCCGAATTTCCTCAATCCCTGAATCCCCAACAATCCTTAAAGACCTATAGCGCACTTTTAACGCCTCTGGTGTTCCGGGTGGCCATGGGCGACCCCGATTGCTTAACATCAGGTGATCCATCGTCGTTAACCGGCTTATCCCATAAAAAAACAGTTTCGTACGGTTTTAGAACTTTCTTCTATTGAGAAATTCAGTTCTGTGTTGTGAAACTAACGATTAACGAAATCATTCTACATAAAAATATATTTAATCGGTGTTCACCTATTCAATATGGAAACACGCAATATTCTAAATAGTTTTCGCTACAATTTACACTTGCGCTGTCTATACTCTATTGCTTTCGAACATAGACGAAAATACAGATTACAACAACATTTGCACAGATTTGAAATAAATGTTACATGCTATACAGCCTCTTTACCTCTTCTAACATTGATGACGGATTTAGATTTTAACTTTTAAAAATAAAATGTTAAATTATTAATTAAAGGGAAGTATTTACGCAAGCTCTTAATTGTTAAGCCAATGACTTTAAGTAATTGACGCATTAGGTTTCAGGCAGCTTGTAATTCTCACATAGTTATCATTTCTCGAAAGGGTAGGCACAAAATACATGTCGACAGTCCATTACTCTACATTTAAATTCCAATTAAACCTCCTTTGTTTCAGCTGCCCCATTAATATATAAAGCCTTTTAGAGGTTCTTAAATGCTAATATGTTCCATGTCCCATAAGATAAGGGGTAAAGCTATTCTGTTATTTTTTCGAGTAATACCCAGTTTAGCAACCAACGGGAGAGTCCATAAAATATGTGCAAGTTACCGCAAGCCACATAACCTGTTCAAGTAAGTACCTACAATTTGTAAGTGGTTGGCAAAGTGTTGGCAACCTGCGCAGACGCAGACGTTGATTGCTGATTCACAGCCAAGTGTTACAACCACTGCAGTGTGCAGTAAATTGACTGCAGTTGCACAAGTTTACTTTGATCTAGTACAAAGAGGTTGTAAATTAAATTAATATTAGGTACTTATTAGGGCGAAGGTGTTACTGTAATGAAAAACAACTATATAAATAACTATTATGACTGTATAGATGTTCAAAATTACTTATAGCTTACAGTTTTACACATAAGTTAAACATAGTAGGTACTTATGGATATATTATCACAAGATACTGGTACTTTTTGCTGAGCAGTCGCGCTTTCGACCACTCGATCAACAAGGCAGTCGAATAGAAAAGTCTTTAGATAATGCTCAGTTTATACCATGAAGCTCATTAAAAAATAACTACGGAAGTAGTTCCGAAATCATGCAAGTGAAACCGCTAAGCAGAGCTAGTAACATAAGAATATCTAAGCACCTACACAAACACAACGATTCAAAGTCGCATCAATGACACATTGCTAATTAATACTAAGTTTTAACATTAACAAGAAAAAAATACTAATCGTGATTTGTGTACATTTTGTTCATTGTCACTTCTCTATGAATTTTTATACAAATATTAATGTTTAATCGTCATTTGAACACGTTTGTGCATCTCTTCGAACCTTCAAAGTCAGTTTCCACGTCAGATTACGTTGTAAGCAACTTATGTCTAAATACCTACCTGTATTATTTTCATTGTTATTTTTTCCCTGTTTATTAATGACGTCTAAGGCTATAGATATTATTATTTCATGAATCACAGATTCAACAGACCCTGGAATGTGCATTTTAATTCTTTACAGTAAATAATGATTTATTGTGTTAAAGTGGAATTTTTGCCAGATTCTGTTCCATCGTGAGCCGCATCATCGCTAACGTCATAACGCATTTAAAAAAACCTAAACGACGTACTTTGACAGACGCCAGCAAATCAATCTCGTCCAAACTGTAAAAATATTTATTAGACTTTCAACTTTAGTGCAAATTAATGAGGTTGAAAATCTAATAGCAGACAGCTGGTATAACTTAAAGTGCATTGTGCAGGCGTCTGAAGCATTCTTCGTTTATTTCCTCAAACAATGCAATATTAAACATATTCTCACGGAATATTTTTAGACAAATTGTTTACCACGACATGGTGCATGCTTAACTCTTATAAGACATTCATTGCAGTACTTGTTTAGATTTAATTTTTAAAGTTAGTTCGGGTTGACTTTAATTCTACCTCGTCCAACTACGGTTGGTCTACACTCTTTCCAAATTTCTCTTTACATTTACCATTTTGAATACTAATAGCGACCTACAGTAACCGCAGTTCAAAATTGCTGCGGATTTCCGAGCACGTAGCACCTGTGCCTACGTCGAAATTAAAAGTAATATCAACTGCCAAAGATTAAATTACTCAATGAACATTTGAATGCCTAGATCCGGAACAGCGTGCACACCATAAAGAACTTATTGAGTTTATACACACAGACAGGCACGCCGTCCACAGCTGGGTCACTTTCTCTCGCAACCTTGATTCCTTACTCCGAGTACGTTAACACTAGCTACGTAAAATGATGACAAATTTAACAATATACTGTTAAACTTTTACTTTTCCTGATTTAAAAGAAAGTGTTAAACATAAGTATGCAAGTGCAGAGATTTTCCTTCGTATTTCATAACGTAACACATTACCGATTATATAAATAACTATTTATTGCTTGCGGAAACTTGCACAAGTATAAATTAGTCCAAAATTACACCTTTTAAGTCAAACTTAAATATTAAATAATTCGTTTGTAATCACTTGGATTTTTTGTCCAAAAGTTTACTTACCAAACAATCCGAAGGGAAGTAAAAATAAGAAAATAAAATGTCACAGATAATCACAAAAGTCACTGTCACAAAATTTTGGCGCGAAACCGCGCGTACACACAAACACTTTCTTTTCCAATACGAATGTAATTTTGAAAAAATGAAACGGAACACAATAACAATTTCTACACGCGTTGGTACTACGGTCGCCACGTACGTTACGGACTGTGGCGTCGCCGGTTGTGGTAAGACGATTTCTTGTTTACACATCAAACCGAGAAACTCGAACTAACCGATCGTAGGGAAAAGTTATTGATGGAAATGTGTTTCCGCATTTTGACGGTGTCGTTTCAATATGGCTGCGTAATAACGTTAACAAACCATATTAGCGCAGTGCTGTGTCGCAATAGTTGTCTTGTCCGTTTTCGCAATTATACCGTGCGGGTATGCAAACATTTACTGGCTATAAGTAATCCCAACAAGAAGAAATGTGAAAAATAATTTCTCAAAGACTAGTCTAGTGACTAGTCTTTGAGAAAATAATTTTCATTATACATCGATAATGGTGACTATCTATCGTCACCATTATCGATATATAATGAAAATAATTGACCTACATAATAATTAATTACTACCTACCTCATAAAGAAGTGTGTAGGTAGATAATTTTTATAGCATCAACACAAAAGAAAAAAAAAATAATAATGTCTACAATCCAAGTTCGACATACGACGTTGTTCATTCATTCATATACCTATGTAAATTAGATGCCTACTCACATACTTATACACTTCATAAATAGGCGTTTTATTATTAAAAATATATTCGTAATTTACAACTTGAATAATAATATTATACTACTTACCTACCTACTTTGATGATAAAGTAAAAGTCTAACTTTTGGGAGCTGATTCAAGTTATGCGCCATAGCGGCACCGGGCACAGTCATACATACTCTTTACGTATAATGGGTCTTATACTGTGTACAAGGATCGAGTTGTGAACTTGTAATATAAAAACATAAGAGGATTTTTACAAAAGCTGAAGGTATTATTCCCTCTAGAAATTATGACGTCAAATTAAACTTTCGCAATTAAAACATGACCTACAACCAGTTGATGTAGCGGTAATTTGAATACTCCAAGAATCAAGAATTAGTAATAGGTCTACAGAACTTCCGTTATGTGGGCTCGCAATGCGGAATATGGCTTACTAGATTATCATATGATTAATCAATCATAAGAGACACTTACCCTTCTCTCTTTTGCGCTGACTGTACCTCGTTTAACATTATCGACCTCATTTATATTACAATTTTACTTACCATTTAAAGAAAAATAACTATATAGATCTCCGATCGCTTTATCACCCTGTGGATACGGATAATAGCAAATCATTAAGTACCTACTACAAAACTCATAGCATTTGACTTAAAAATAAACTAGCTATAATATTTATTCAGGCGCCACTAAGGAATAATGTACTAACCTTACTTTTAAACTTGTGGATTGTTTATAGTTATGTACCAATACAAACCTGCTTTGGTGTAATGGCGTAAAACTGCAAAGAAATCAATATAAAAATAAAAAAAAAATAGTAGTAGTAAATGTATTTTTGAACTTGTGATGTGAACTAATGACTCATAACTATAATTTTGCCTCAAAATCGCCTTTCGCCGCCTTGTGATCATTGCTATGTCTAATGTCACAGGCATTTCAAATTAAATCATAAAAAGGAATTTTTATGATCAGTTAGCGCAAATTTTGCTAATTTGTTGTTGTTGTAATTGAAACAAAAATTGTATTTTTTTTAGCATTTATTATTATGAAACAAGACGTAAAACGGAGAAAAACTGTTTAGTTTTTGAACGTTTGTTCACGTCACGAATCAGAATCACGAAACAAAACGTCAAACTAATGTCAAACGTCAGTTGTCACATTAAAGAGGTTATGTTGAAAAACGTTATCGTTGTCAACTTGTCAATGCGTTGATCTAGTACTGTAACTTCTAAGGAGATTCTAATCGAGACTTTCGTTGGTAGTGGTGAAGGTTTCGCACGTGCTTTTATTGGTACTACGATTGTTGTCAATTTTAGTGATCTTTTTTATAGTGAACTAAATTGATTTTTTTTTAATTTTGTGCTGTGTAATTGTGTGTGTAAGTTTTATTAAGGTATTGTAGTTTTAAGTTTTAATACTTCTTTTTCCTTCCCACCTTTTCCTTACTCTTTAACGATGGACGAGGAGAAGCCCCCTGATCCTCCCGACAAATCGGAATACAGTCCCGTGTTATGTGTCACACTTCCCCACGACAACCAAGATATAGACCTAATGGATTCTGAACCTAATCATAATAGAAAGCGACCTGCAGGCTCTCCTATTATCTCCCGCAACAACCCTCCAAAACTAGCTAAAAGCATAAATGGTAGGCAGTGTTACACGGCTAGAGACAACCCCCCTTATATTATCCATGTTTCGCTCAAGGACTCCCAGACAACTGGTACTACGCTTCACCCAATCAAATTCGGGATGTTCTTGACGAAAAATAATATAAACAATATAAAAATTGGAGGAGTGAAACGACTAGGTAGAAATAGAGTGTCCGTTGAATTTGTCTCCCACCAAGACGCAAACAGTTTCTTGGTTAACTGTGTTGTAGCTCAGAATTATACCACCTCAATCCCTCAATACAATATAACAAGAATGGGTATTGTAAGAGATGTTCCCATTGAGTGGACAGAGGAAGAAATTATCAGGAACATCAAGGTTCCTGCTGGATGTGGAATTGCTATCAAAGCAAGACGGATGAACCGTAGGGTGTCATCAGAAAATGGTACGGAATGGAAGCCTACCCAAACTGTGGTGCTGACTTTCGATGGGCAAATTCTTCCAAAGAAAGTTTTTTGTTTTTACTCTGCTCTCCCCGTAGAATTGTACACATACCCCACAATACAGTGTTTCAACTGTTGTCGTTTTGGTCACACTCGCACTCTGTGCCGCTCCAAGCCGCGTTGCTTTAGATGTGGTCAGGATCATCCTGGCGATGGATGCTTAGTATCAGAGGAAGTTGCACATTGCATTAATTGCAATGGCAACCACTTTGCTAATAACAGTGCTTGCCCGGAGTTAGGCCGCCAGAAGAGCATTAAGGCTCTGATGGCAGAAAAGGCAATTTCATATGCGGAAGCAAGCCAAGTATTCCCTGCAGTTAAAAAGTCATATGCCGAGGTATCTAAATCCAAATCCACCAATTATATACAAACAACACCAATAAAAAAATCATCCCCACAGAGACTATCTTATAAAAAAACTGTCTTTGTCAAACCTAAATCCCATGCCCCTCTTTCTCCCAGCTACGATAAGAAGGCCCACCAGGCCCTTATCCATGACTACTCATTTTCTCCCTCACAAAACGGTTGCGCTTTCCCTGTGGAATCCGGAACCAATACTCAAAGCTCCAAGAACATATTAGACATAATTTCGAGCATGCTTATGGCAGTGTTATCCAACCCTTCTCAAACCGTACCTGACCACGTCGCCCATAGATTAGCTACCATCTTAGATTATATCTATAACATTCCACCCACTAACAATTCTCCAGTGGAACGTGAGGAGTACTCTTCCCAGGAAGAGTGACTTACTACACCTAATCAACAAATTTAAACCAACTATTTGTGGCATTGCTGAGACATGGCTCCGACCGAATATTAATTTCAGAGTCCCGTGTTTCAGTGTTGTCAGACATGACAGATCTGATGGTTATGGAGGTTGTGCTTTGTTAGTAAGTAACAAAGTACCCTTCTCTCAGATCCCTCTACCCTTCGTTGGCGATGACATAAATGTTGTCGCTGTTAAGGCTGAGGATATAAATATTTTTATGTTTTATATTGCACACCCTCATATTAACCATTTGGCTATAATTAAAAACTTATTAATGTCAGTAAGTGGCCCATTACTTGTAATGGGCGACTTTAACTGCCATCACTTTAGATGGGGTTCAGATACCTGCGACAACATAGGTACCGAGTTAGTAGAAATGTTGGATGAGCTTAACCTATGTGCCATTAATGACGGCAGCCCAACCCGTAGATCTGCATTTGGGCAAAGAAGCAGTTGTGTGGATTTAACCTTCTGCTCAGCTAATATGGCAAGCATGCTGAATTGGAGCTGTTTGAATATGACCTATGGTAGTGATCACTATCCCATAATAATTAAAAACCCTTCTAAATCCACTCCCGATAAATCCCTCCCCCCCCTATTAAAATATCGTTTAGAAAAAGCAGATTGGGACCTGTATTCAAAATTGTTAGACCTTCGCATTTCTTCTCTCCCACTTATTAATACTGAGAATGCTTTGGAGTGTTTTTCAAAGTTTTCGGAGTTGATATCTTCTACAGCTGAAGATTGCTTTCCATTGAAAAACACACCAAAAGGCAAAATCCCGTCCCCTCCTTGGTGGGATAGTGAATGCACTGCCATGATAAGAGCCAGGAATGAGGCCGAAAAGGCATATAACCGAGACATGAACCTGGAAAACCTCTTTAATTTCAAGCGGATGTTGGCTAGGTCAAGGAAACTTTTTAAAAAAAAGAAGAAGCAGGGGTGGCAGAGATTCTGTACGTCCCTGAGCCCGTCCACACCGGTAGCAGCAGTTTGGCAGAGGGTGAAGAGCTTCAGAAACTCCATGAAGCCTCCTTCAATTTCTATCATGCCTGAAGGTCTGAGCCACAATTTCTTCTCCAGTATTGCTCCACTGTATGTTCCCGGTGAGGATGAATTTTGCTTGGGTCATCATGAGGAATCGCTTGACCCACTCGATAGGAATTTCTCCATGGACGAGCTTCAAATGGTTCTAAACCACGTAAAAGACTCCGCACCAGGGATTGATGGGTTCCCCTACTCCTTCTTGGTTAAGGCAGGAGCCAAAACCAAACAGTACTACCTTGACTTGGTCAATTTCTGTCTTGCTTTCGGCTATATTCCTCCTCCCTGGAAGGTTCAGGTTATTATGCCGCTGTTAAAAGCTGGCAAGGATCCTGGTGACCATTCGTCTTACAGACCTATTGCCCTATCGTCCATACTTATAAAAATTTTAGAGCACCTTTTAAAGACCCGGTTGGAATGGTCGATGGAAGGCCGGGGCCTGTTTCCGGCGGCTCAGTTCGGCTTCAGGAAAGGTCTGGGTACGGCTGATAGTGTGGGTACCCTCACGTCAGCTATCCGACTGGCCCTTAGCAGGGATGAGTCGTTGGTGGCAGTCTTTCTGGACGTTTCATCGGCTTATGACTCGGTTCTCCTACCCCTTCTCAGGCAGAAACTGCAAGAGCTGAGAATCCCGAGTAGGATTTGCCAAATTATAGGCTGCATCCTTTCCAACCGTACCCTCCAACTAAGGACTCCTGAGGATGACCCAACACAGAGAACGGCCTGGAGAGGTTTACCTCAGGGGTCTGTCCTTAGTCCCATCCTGTATAATATTTATACTCATGACCTCCCTTCCTGTCTAAATTATGATTGTAGAATCCTCCAGTATGCTGACGATATCGCATTAATGGTCACTAGCAGCTCTATAACAGATGCTACCACCTCCATGAATGTCTCTTTGGCCTCATTACACCAATGGCTTCTTAGTCATGGGTTGTCTTTAAGCGCCCCAAAAAGCTCAGCTGTCATCTTCTCACGCAGACGTCGCCTTCCAGATATTCGTATAGAGATAGACGGTCAGCCTATTCCAGTTATGAGGAAGGCTAGGTTCCTAGGCGTCATCCTCGATTCTAGGATGTCGGGGGTAGATCATGTGGACGCTGTGGTTAAAAGGTGCGAGCGGTCAGTATGTGTACTCAGAGCACTAGCTGGGGTATGGTGGGGTGCTCACCCCTACACACTGAAACTCATCTACAATGCATTGGTCAGGAGTGTGATGGACTATTGCTGTTTCCTTATAGCACCATGCAATAAGGAAGCATTTAAAAAATTAGATTCCATCCAGGCCAAATGCCTAAGAATAATTATTGGAGCTATGAAGTCGTCCCCCATAAATGCTCTTCAGGTTGAATGTGCAGAGCCCCCCCTCGACCTTCGAAGACAATACCTGGCAGACCGTTTCGTATCTAAAGTCCTGACCCGCTCTTCTCATCCCCTCCTCCCTATCCTTGAACAAATACACTGTTCCTATGGTTCCTCTCCATATTGGAACAATAAACCTGTCCCACCCGTGATTGTTAGGTATAGGGAGCTTAAAAACCTCTCTGCACCTATCAGTCAACACCCTATTCTCCCGGTTTTTTCTTCCGCATATGAGGTTATCCACTTTAAGCCAAAGCTAGTTCTGAGGTTGGGCATCTCAAAATCATCGGTGGACGCCAGGCGTGATTTTGGACGCGCGTTGAGCAATTACTGGAACGGCTGGAATATGTTTTACACGGATGCATCCAAATTGTCCCGAAACGGATGCACAGGAGTGGCAGCATATTACCAGAATTCAAGAATTGCTCTCCTCTCTAAATGTCCTCCTGAAGCCTCTGTTTTCACTGGGGAATGTATTGGCATTCTGGAGTCCATCAAATTTATCAAATCGCACAACCTCAGTAACTCAGTTATCTTCTCAGATTCTCGAAGTAGCCTACAAGCGCTCGGTCAAGACCAGCTTTACTCCCGAACGCATAGTAGTATAATAATGCAAATAAAAAGTCTGCTTTTCTCCTGTCAAAAAGACGGATTAAATATTGAGATTGCATGGATTCCTGGCCACTCTGGTATATGTGGTAACGAGTGTGCTGACAGATTGGCAAAGTTTGCGGCCGTGAATAACGTTGAACGTCACCACTACATTGTGTATGGGTATGACATACGCGCGGATACCAAACTTAAGCTCTTCGACTCGTGGGCTGCAGTGTGGGTGGACTCCTCTAAACGAAAAGGAGCTTATTACGCAAGCATCCAGTCCGACATACAGCGGAAACCTTGGTTTTTCAAGCATAAGAAGCTCCCCAGAGATGCTGTTTCGTCTTTGTGCAGACTCAGGCTCGGTCACTGTTCTAGCCCGGTATTCCTCGCCAAGATCCGCGTACGTGACAGCTCGCTGTGCGAATGTGGTCTTGATGAGGGAACCCTAGACCACATATTTTTCTCTTGCCCTCTAAATTCCCAATCCTTCGATCTATATGGAAACCTTCCCAAAATCCAAATCCCTCTTCCAATCAACTTCCACTCCCTCCTAACAAATTTTTCTCCCAAATTAATTAAGTGCTTGTCCAAATTTATAAAAGAAAATAGTATTAAAATATAATGGTGTGTAATCATGTAAATATTGTGTGTTATGATTGTTTCTATTTAATTATTTATCTGGTGTTAGGTAATAATATTATAATTTTAGGTCTATTGACGGTATATGTTTACTAACCCAATTGTTTTTGTCCTTTTCAGCTACTAACAACTAAAAACTACCGCAAAGTTAAAAGTCGACGGTGCATTAATCTGCCGTCACCACTCGACACTGGCAGTATAGTCGACAACACCGTGTTGGAGACTCAGTTGCCAAAGGAAGAAAAAAAAAAAAAAAAAAAAAAAAGAGGTTATGTTGATATAAAAAGTAATTTCCTCTTATTTTCTCCTAAATAACAGAAAATATTAAAATGTCGTTGTTAAGAACACTTGTATTCCGATACGTTTGTAAGTTCATTTAGTTTTTAACCCCAAACATATCCTATATGAAAATTCTTACGAGATATGTTACAACCTACAAATTTGTATAAAATAGGTTTTGATTGAGCGTATTTTCTGTTTGCAGTACCGAATACATACCGAACGACAACAAGATTCTCATCCACGGATACAAAATTAACTTCAAGCAATGACGAACCGGTACCAATGTCAAACCCATACAAGAAAGAACGTCGTCAATGTATCTTATGCAAGTTGAAGATCAAACCAGACTACAAGAACTATAGACTATTGTCCCAATTCCAGAGTCCATACACTGGTCGTATTTACGGAAGGCATATTACTGGATTATGCAAATCGAAACAGGAGCAAGTTGAAACTGAGATAAGGAAGGCACAAAACTGCGCCTATATGCCGTACTATTATAAGGACAAAACCTTCCTGAAGGACCCTAAACTGTTTGACCCAGAAAATCCTATTAGATCCCATAGATTTTAATTTATAGTTGTAGTATGTGTAGATAAGTTATAAAGTTATTGAAATAAATTTTGTGTAAAGGAAAATTTTTTATTGCATTTCTATTATTTATAGGTACATGGTAAAGATTAAATAAATTGGTTTGTCATTCAGTAAATAAGCTATCTTTATGTAACCTTTCTAACAGTATTAGTACATATGTTTTGTCCCATAAATTATATGGGATTATATGGGAAATGTAGATTCCATAAGTAATAAAAACTTAAATAATATTAATTAGTAATGTGTTCAACACAATAGAACCAAACTAATTGTACAATTAAAAAATACCTACTAAGTATATAGTTGTGACAATCGCTCAGGGAAAAATGACTAATTGCATAAAGGCCACTGGACATATTAAACTTCAAATCTACAAACTGTGTACATACAAAAGAAATACATTACAAATTACTCAATAACAACTTTAATATTAAATTAAATAACTCTTAAAATAACATAACTTATAGCTATAAATCCTGGAATTTATGTAAGATAATGCTAGCATCATTAGGTTCGTTAAAACAATCATTTTCAGCATCATAGCCAACTAAAGACGGAGGTATTTTCAAAGTTCTCAACATTTCAGTACAGTCCATATCCTGTTTATCATGAAACTTGGTTTTCATTAGGTCTAAAAGTTCCATCAAAGCATTTTGACATCCCTTTTGCCATTTTTTTATTAAATTCCTTAATTCTGCTGTATCTGGGTTTATGGATTGCGCTAACAGGAGTTTTTTCTTTGTCTCTATCCTTGCTTTAAGTTCATCAATGTCTTGTTGGGTTATGGAACCCGTAGACTTTGCTTTTAAAGGTTTGCTAACTTTTTCATATGTTTTCCTGATTATAATCGTTTTTTTGTTGGTGTCAAAATCATCATCATCATCATCGTAAGAGCTTTGTGAAGAAGGTTTAGGTTGTACTTTGACTTTTTCTGGTTTAAGTTTCAGTGGTTTATTGGTTTTTAATTTATGTTTAGGAGATTTCATTTCTTTCTCTTTGACTTTGTTAACATTTACTTTGGTTGATTTGTCCACAAAATCATCATCTTCGGTAATATCAATTATATTCTCTGTTGTAGTTTTCTTCTCTTCTTCATTAGCTTTCTCTGACTTATTTTTTGCTGAATTTAATTGATTTAAAGGTATCTCATCTGAATCAGAATCAAATAATGCTTGAGATGTGGAGTTATTTTGTTTCTCTTCATTTTTCTCCGTCTCTGTAATACTATCTTCAGTTCTTTTAAATATCTTTCTTTGTATGACAACTATGCACTCTTTTCTTAAATCATTTGGACTTCTTTCTTTGATTTTGTATTCTTCATCTTTTGGGTCCTTACAATTTTCAGAATCTGAACCAATTTTGATATCATTTGTCTCATTGGCACTTACTTCTGATGCTATATCTGCATTTTTATTATTTTTAGAAAGAGCTCTTACTCTTGGAGATTGCTTTTTCGATTTTTTCGACCTAGTCCGTACTGGAGTGGAAACTTCGTCAATATTCTCAATGTTTTGAAAACTTACGTCTTCAGAAGTGTCTTCCTTTATGGTTATTGCACTGGTTTCATTAGTTACTTCTAAATTAGTACTCACATCCTCTTGAGAACGATTTATAGCTGTTAATAATGTCTTAGATTTCTTTTTACGAGGCAATTGAACATTTCTGGACGGGGTTTTATCAATTTCGCTACTTTGTTCAACTTGAATTTCACTTGTGTTGTCAACATCAGACACTTCGGAAGTTTTTTCAATATTGTCGTCTAGAACAAGAGATTTTCGCTTCCTCGTATCATTGGTTACTTCTCTTAAAGTCGGAGTACTGCCAGACAGAGGAGATATAAACGGCGAAGGTCCCTTGTTTCTCCAATTCCGTGAAAGACCAACTCTTCGACAAGGAGTTAAAAGAGACTTACTAATCCCGCCAGGAGTTTTGGGAGAGTTAGTGGAATCTGATTTTAGAGCTGACACATTCTTCATTTTCTTTATTCGATTGATCAATTTATTTATTTCCCATCAACTATTATTTTGTTTGTTGTGAAAAGATATTTTGTCAATCAATCTGTCAAACTGTTTTCGTCTCGTAACATTCCCGATTCCCGCCACTGAATTATTGACCGAATGAATAACTATTGCGTATCCATTCGCCAATTTCTGTGCTGCTATTTAATACTTTTTATTTACCTATTTACTATTGTTAATCCTTCATTAATAAATTCATTTACTTTATGTTTAGTACCTACAAAAACAAAGCACTCAGATTTCTATACGTAAGACAGTGTTAATATGTATTATTGTAAGAGAAATTGAATAATATGAATTCTATCCAGAATACTAAGGTATGGCATTTAAAAAAAAAAAAATCAAATAAAAATATTCAAAATAGAGTATAAATAACTGAAAATTGAGATTATGCCTAAAATAAAATCTTAAATGTGGATGGATTTGGTTTAGATTTCCACTTATAATGGTGAATAAAATGGAACTGGATGGCAACATTTTAGAAAATACCTTGACTAAAGAAGAAATAAATTTACTTAGATTATTTTGATACGATATACTAATAGATTAGCTTTGTATATTTGATGCAAATAATATATTAATCACTACGATAAAAAGCATACGATTTAATTTTTCATATTCTTCACGGAGTTCATGGCATTCAACTTTCGTTTCATTCTTTCATTTATGACTCAAATTGAATCATTTCAATCATTCACTCACCATCTTTCAAAAATATTCCGTGCCGTGGTGATAACGATACGATTGTTATTTTAATTAAATATCCCGACTCGAAAGCGATAATTTAACGACTTCTATTACATTTATAGGTAAAGTGGTCATAATTTGTATAGCTTTAAATTTTTGCGGTTCTTGTGAATAAACACATTACATAATGCCGCTGCTGCGATTGACAACGGCAACTTTCGGCCAGCTACGCACTTTCGCGACGTCACCAGCCCTTGGGAAGAGAGTGAAGACCTTCGCTGTGTACCGCTGGAATCCAGACGAGCCCGACAAGAAGCCTTACACTCAGAATTATGAGGTGGATCTCGATGACTGCGCTCCCATGGTGCTGGACGCTCTGCTGAAAATCAAAAATGAAATGGACCCAACGCTGACATTCAGACGTTCATGTCGCGAAGGTGTATGTGGCTCCTGTGCCATGAACATCGATGGCATAAACACACTAGCTTGCATCAGCCACATCGACGGAAACCTGAACAAGCCGACAAAAATCTATCCGTTGCCTCACATGTACGTTGTGAAGGATCTCGTACCAGATCTGACTAACTTTTACCGCCAGTACCAGTCTATCGAGCCTTGGCTGCAGCGCGACAAAGAGGCTGTGAAAGGTAAGGAGACACAGCTGCTGCAGGACGTGAAGGACCGCGAGAAACTCGACGGCCTCTACGAGTGCGTGCTGTGCGCGTGTTGCTCGACTAGTTGTCCGTCGTACTGGTGGAACGGCGACAAATATCTCGGGCCCGCGGTGCTCATGCAGGCCTACAGGTGGATCATCGACTCCCGCGACGACGCCACTCAGAAGCGTCTCTCCAAGCTGAAAGACACATACTCTGTGTACCGCTGCCACACTATCATGAACTGCACACGAACATGCCCTAAAGGTTTGAACCCTGGTCGTGCTATTGCCCAGATCAAAACCATGCTGTCAGGTATGGTCAAGAAGCAGCCACCAATTATGGACCCATCAGGGCTTGAGAAGCAGGCTGCACACAACTAGACATCACACACTAACTGATAAAAGGCTGGAGACTGCATAGTCAGACAGTAGATGTACTTAATAGGTTCAATCAATGACAACCTCAGTTAAGCTACCTTAGAAATGTTACCACACATCTAAAGCAGTAAGTAGAGATAAGATTGATTTTTTGTATCCATAATCTGCAAGACCTGTAAATAATTCGAGAGTATATTATATCTGTAGAAAAATAATAATAATATTATAAAGTAGTTGCAATCACTTTAACGAGCAGCCATAATGTAATGCCAATTTGTTTTTATATTTTTTAAGCAGCGGGAACTGCTGTCAAACTTCCTAATCATATTACAAAAAATATTTTTGATGTTTATTGTTGGTCAGCTGAGTAGTGTAATTGTTTGATAAAACCTTATAGCATTTTTAGACTGTTTTTCTTTCAAATAGCTCTTATTGAGATATAATTAAGGCAGGTCCTAAAATCAGAAATATAAAATACTTGCCAACAACCAAAATTGTTAAAATACTGGCTCTAAACTTGAGAAATCTATAAATTTTGTGGATTCTTTTTAGAAGATATTATTCAAGGTTAATGACGAAAACATTAGCTTGTTTTTGTCTCAACTTAAATGTTTTTGCAAACTGTGTAATATGCACAAAAACTACTATCATTTATATAATTTGAGTAGTGTTTTCTTGTACCTCATTGCTTTGATTGCCATTTTTGATTAATAAAATGGCAAGCTAAAAAGATTTAAAATTATTTGCAACTTCCAAAAACTTGTTTCCATTTTTTTTATCTTTTTCAAATAAACTTTCCTCAATTTGCAATCTAAGTGGTCAAAAGGTCAACATGTTTGGCTTATAAACTCTAGTACAAAATGGACATTTGCAATAAATCTGATAATTATTTTATTGATATTAAATTGTGAAATTATTCAAAGTATTATAGTAGAAAGTATTTTATAGTACGGATGCAACTTCATTTTTAAATTATTGAGCATCGCATGTTGTATTTATTATTCATTTCATGTGTTGTGGACGCATTGAACTGTATTAAAGTTGTTAATAAATAATCATGTAAGTAAGCTATTGTATTTTTATTTAAATTGGTTGTGAATGACAGACAATACAATGGATGTTTTCTTAGCAGCGGGAAAATGCAGTTATTACTGTTATGAATGAAATATAATCTGTTTTGTTCATTTGGAAATAAATTGCCCACTTAGAATGCAGTTACTAATGAACTATAAGCATTTGTTTCGTACACGTAAGGTATAAATACCTAATCTGAACAATAATTGTCGAACTCACGACACGGGTATATCGTGACGAAGGAGAAATGTAACGTATGTAAGTAGTAGGTATTTTTTGTAGCACTGTATTCCTTTTAGCGAAGGTCAGTAAAAACGCGCGCTAAAATACCACAATTTAAAAAAAGTCTTCTCTGTATGTACGTACCACTTGAAACAACAGGGTACCTAAAAATAGAAAAAAATATTATTTTATTATCTATCACAGGAGATAATAGGTTGCTATACATCATTGTGCATTATAAATAATACATGGCCTATTGCGATCGATGCTGAATGCCGATAACGTTACGTGTTCATGGATGAAAGTAAACAACTTTGCATTCATTTTTGATTGCATCATTCATATTTAGAAACTATAATTTTACTGGATATAGAGAGCCTAACTGTCAGGTCATAAAGAGTTACTAACTTCACCACCGACCCACATAAAGATAATAATCGTTAAGTTTCCTCCCTAGTAAATAATTCAACAGGGGGAAAGACCTGCCCTGGCTTCTTAAGATTGTGTTGTAATGTAAGCAATAATTTGAAAGCTGCCAAGTTTTCATATAGGTCAAACGCCTTAAATGACCTTAATCAAGAAAGCCTATAGAATCTATGCCATGGCCATAGCTGCACCTATAAAGACTAATAAGAGCTGTTGCTAAAGTTATGGAAACGATGACAATGAAATGACAGTTCTGGAGACGTTACAATATCTTGTAGGTGTAAAAATAAGCAGATTTTTCCTGTTAGAGGAAGAGAGGGACCATTACGTCATCCTATCCTAAATCAAGTGTCGCAATGTCGTGCAAAATCTAATTGGCCGAGTCCGTCACTAAATTGCTTGACATGTCATTCAGCCTTCACCATACTGATGCTATATTAGAATATCTAATACCTTATCTACAACGTGGAAGTAGCTACAATCAAGGAATAAAAAATCAATCTAAAATGTAACATTTTATTTGCCACACACCAAAGTAAAACTCCATTTGTAGATTTCTAGATCAGCGCTTAGACTATTTTAAAACATAAACCGGAAAATTGCAGTTCAGCTGTTCATTTTTGAAGCAAGGTAATTTGCCTTCCTCTGTCTGTGTTCTTTTCACAAGGTAGGCGATTACAGTAAACCTACCTACATGTTGGTAGGTGGGTACCGATATTTACATAAGTATCGGGGCAATACGGCAAGTGTATAGAGGTACCGCTGTAACAAAAACACGAAGAGACAATGGGCCATTCGAGTTGTTCAATTCTTCAAGTGCTTCGTTATTAAACAGATACAGTACGTCACATACATTGCATAGTTATATTTTAATCAGTTTTTCATTTATCTCTTTGAATAGCAATAGGTTACCTGGAATTGTGCCCGGTATATTCGTCCAAGTTTGAATTAATCTCAAATCTCCATGCAGTCGTATAATAATTCATATAAACTAGTTATCATGTTACATTATTTCAACTACAATATCAGGTTGCCTCATCAATGCACTTTATTATCTACCGTAGCACTTGGTAATAAAGTCTATAATTATGTACCTATCTGTATCTATTAACAGTGTCCGGTATATGGCAATAGATTCACCCCTATAACATGGGACACATAACATAAATAGTGAAAAGTGGCTCTGCCTGCCCCTTCGGGGATAAAAGGCGTGTTGGTATGTTAAGGTTATCTAGGATAGAAGTTATGTTCCATGTCACCTTTCCGATCACTCAGATCAGATCAGATTCCAGAACAATCCACCTTGCTTGCTACCAAGAAGTTTTTGTCTTTAATATTTCTGTGCCATCGACTACCGACTTTACAATCAGTATTAATTTTGCTCAATTTAGGTACCTACTTATCAACTATCAGCGAGTGAATTATTTATCGAACAGTCTGGTTCTCAAAACTGACCCTGTCTGACATACCTATTAAGTAGGTAGGTGTCTACGTAAAACCTTGAAATTAATGTCAATGATAGTTTAATACCTACTGCACAAGCTTCAATTTTACGATAAACTATTGTAGGTACCTACGTATTGCTATGGCAACAGCATTGGATCATTCTTTATTAGTGCTAATTATTGCTCGTCATTTGTTTTATATTTTAAAACTCCGGTCGGTACCTACTTCAACAATCTATATAGGTATATAAGAAAGTCGTGTTAGTTACACTATTTATAACTCAAGAATGGCTAAAACGATTTAAATCAAAATTGGTGGGGACGTAGCTAAGAACCAGAAAACGGACATAGGATTCTTTTTACCCAATATTTTTTTTTTACTTTTTACCGAAAATCAAGAACGGGAATGGGAAATATCGCGATTGCGCGTACGAACTACGAAGTCGCGGGCAGAAGCTAGTTTATAATGAAACTGGATCGTAACCCCATTCTGCACTGCAAGTTTGTAACTACTTAGTTATAAAGACTTGAATATAACAATAACAAGCTTGTAATGCCCAAGTCTCGTCTATTTTATCTTAGAACCTTCCTAGAACTTACACTTAGGTACCCTCACATCGGTACCGTTACTGGAAAGCCAATCAGGGGATCATTGCCCACTTGATGCTTGTCGTGTAATCCTGTCTAGTCGTGCAGTAAACCCCGCAGAATCGAACGTACTACCTATCCATAGGCTCTAGTTTATTTATTTATTTATTTATTTATTACACTCTGGAGGACTTACAGCTAAAACTACATAAAAATAGAAGTCAACATAAACTACTGAAAGCCAATTACAAGTCCTCACGTATAGTAGTTAAATACATATGTAGGTACAAGACACTTTTGAGAGGTAGGTACATAGGTACCTACGACGTGACGACGCGACGGTACGAAAAGAGTTAATAACGATAAAAAATATATCTCATCCAAGTTTGAATTAATCTCAAATCTCCTTGCAGTCATATAATAGGTAATACTTATAACCTAGTTACCATGTTACATTATTCCAACTATAATATCAGGTTGCCTCAATAATGCACTTTATTATCTACCGTAGTACTTGGTAATAAAGTCTATAATTACGTACCTATCTGTAACTATTAACAGTGTCCGATTGCATAATTTAATTCAAATGTATGATGGCAATAACCTAATGACAATGTAAATGAAGTGACACAGATTCTAGAGACCGGTAGTGTAGCGTCTCTTGGCCGGTAGTAGGTATATTTTGAGTAAGGTAGGTCAAGTATAGTACCCAGAATTTGGCATAGGTGTTCAGAATATTGACGGCAGATGGGTGGAGTGGAAGAGCTCAAGTGGAGACCACGGGTCGGAAAACGAAGTGTGGGCCGTGTGTGGGCCTAACTAGCTCCAGCTAGGCTAGATGGACGTCAGACCCACGAGGAGACAATGAATGCAGGCAGGCAAGCTGTCGTTCGACGTGGAGCACTAGAGGAGACCTTTGTCCAGCAGTTGTCGTCCTCGGGCAGTTGATAATGTTTTTCATATTAAGATGGTCAGCAGTAGGTGATGTCCTTCTACAAAATCGTCATGAAGGAAGAAGAATCGTCGGAAGGAAATAGTGATGAAATAACATCTTTTCCCTTTTTGGGAACAAAAAGGGGTGGGCACTGGACAAGAAATTTGTATTACCCACCCTATGGTTGCAGATTTGTAATAGCCATATACATAATAATGGATTTTTCTTTCCTTTGTTTTGATAGCAAATAAGATAGCAGGTATTATGATATGGACAGCAAAGTGGCAATTTACGTCATAAGATAAAAGGATGGATTATTTTCCATTGCAGTGCATTGAACCACAGAGTACCTAAGTGCATCAGATAAGGAGGGCTCGATTCTTATGTAGGTAGGTATTATCGATTGCCAATGTCAAAATCAAAACAGTTGAAACCACTGATAATTCTCGGGTCTTTTTGAGAATTCAACATTTTTATTGGCAACCGTAGTACAGAAAACCCCAGGTGTTAGGACTTAGTTAAATTTTAAATAAAATCCTTATACCCATCTACCACTGCTTCTAACATAGGTAGACGTAGGTAATTTTTTTTTAAGGAGGGAAAATCATCGCACGCCTGCTCCCGCCTGGGTGAGGCGGGAGGGAGTGTCAGACTTACTGACTAAAAACCACCCCATTCCTTCTCCTGCACGTCGAGCCGGAGCCCCGGTTACCCGTTAGGTTCTCCGCGACAGACGTAGGTAGTTAATGACTTACCCTAAGTTAACCTTCATTATTTAATTTGCGACTTTATTAGTCCATGCATGCAACAGTTGCAACTTGGCGCATCAAACACCGATGCATTTTAGTCCGTATTCACATGACAAACAAAGTAAAATATTAATTACCCACCGTACGTCGCATTACCATTGCATGAAGTAGATAATCGCCAGTGGAATATGCTAACTAGCCATTGTGTTGGTAAATAGCAATTTTCTACGCTTCGTGACTCCGTTAATCGTTAATCTGGAATCTGTGTCACAATAAGATAAGAAAAATACAACCTTTAATTTATTTTGTAACTAACTAAATAATTTATTTCTTTTCATCAGATATTGTTTACGAGCTGAGATAATAGTTTTACAGTGGCGTGAGTTTGTTTTTAAATGCAATCCAGTTTGTATAGTAGATTACCTAATCTTGAGCTTCGTAGGTGTGCAACGTTAAATGCACCACGTGTGGTCAGCGGTGCATGAAACCTAGGTATTGTTTATTTCTTTTTTCAACATCGTAGTAGTTAAGTGCTAGTACTTATATAGTAATATTATGTGCATAGGGTTAAAATACCTATCGTGTGGGGGACCTACCTACTTAAGTAGGTACCTAATTAAAGTAAATAAGT